TCAATCCTTCATCTGACAGGGGGTTGGGTTGATATTTGAGGCAGATTGATTTTAGAGATTGATAGCCATCATCTCAAAGCCATTTATTTTAACTTTGGCTGGACAACCAACAGCAGGAGCCTTCCCGTCCCAAAGCAGGCATTGTAATTTTGTTCAATTTTGAGCCATTTGATGATTACAGCATTACAAAAAAAAACTCAATCAACTGCATGCAGTTGACATGCAGTTCTCCAGCCAAGCTGCCTTCCACACTCCACCTGTTTTCATGTGGGGATAATTTGGCATAGTCACTGTGAATCAAAGCTTGGTTGAATCACTCTGGGAGAAAGGTGGGAGTAACACCAAAAACTTTGTTGGACTTTCTGCATGTCAACTGCAGGCAGTTGGGCCAGTTTTTTTTGCAGTGCAAGGTAGTTGTTTTTCTTTGAGTGACCTGCATTTTTATCAGCAGAATCCTCTTCAGATGAATTGTTACCTCTTTTTTTCTCGGACTTTTGTGGGTTGGCTGTCCTATTAAGTATTGATTTGATCTCTTGTGGTTAGGGGTCTTTCTTGGGCATGGGGGTAGCTTTCTTGGATGTTGTTTTTTTTCTGATTGGATTAATTTTTTGGAGGCATGATTCTGGAAAAGGTAACAAGTGATATGGGGTTACTAGTGTCTTGGGATGGAATTGATAAGTGGCATACCTCACTGAAAAAAAAACTTGCTCAACTGTCTGCAGTTGACATACAGCATGATGCTCCAGCCAAGCTTTCATCAAAACTCTACCTGTTTGCATGTGTGGATGTTTTGGCTCAGTCACTGTGCATACTTGCACAGTGACTGTGCATCAAAGCTTGGTGGAATCACTCTGGGAGAAAGGTTGGAGCAACAACAGAAGCTTCCTGGGAGTTTCTGCATTTCAACTGCAGAGTTGAGCAAATATTTTTGCAGTGCTAGCTGAAAGTGAAGGGAGGAGGGGATAGGATTGAATTGTGGAAGTGGTTCAAAAATTAAGGAAAGAGGTGTTATGATTGAATTGTGGAAGTTTATTTAAACCTGAGACTGAGATATGTGGGAATCTGTGGGTTTTCAGCCAATAAAATGTGGTTTTAAAGGTTATACTTGATACATATTGGGGGAAATAAATACATATTTGAAAGTTTTATCAACAGGTTTGAAAAATGTGGATTTATCAAAACCAGTGGATAAGATGATTGTGGATTTGGTTATATTTGATACCCCCTATTTTGTGTTAATAGGGATGAGATGTTGGAGTGATTCCAAAACTGGTTTTGATGCATGTTTTGAATCACTATTCATGAGAAAAAACTAGTTTTTGAGTCACCCCAACATGCCTAATGGTGAATATTTAGTATGAGGCTATATAAATTTTGTGTGTCTACACCTGCTAAGGTGATTTCAAAATTAGTTTTCATGTTTGATAGTCTTGAAAATATGAAAACTAGTTTAGGAATTCACTCTGACATGCCTGTGTAGTAACACCAAAGTTATATAGCCTCATGCTAAATATTCCCCACGAGGCATGTTGGGGTGATTCCAAAACTGATTTTCATGTTTGTATTCACTATTGAGCATGAAACCCAGTTTTGGAACCACCACAACATGTGTAGTAACCCCAAAGTTATATAGCCCCATGGTAAATATTTAGCATGAGGGTACACCCCGGGTGCACTCGGTCAAAAAGAATTCGGCTATGAGTCAAATGCTTTTTGATGTGCCCCTGCGTAGGGGCGGACCAGCTGGCGACGGTCGTCATTTCCCCTCAAAATTTTTGATTCAATTTCAACTTGCATCCGGCAACCAAATTGGTTCAATTGCAGTTTGGCAACCTCCCCGACTCTTAGTCAATTTATCCACGGGCATGCAACCAATTCCACTGCGCAATCACACCTTCGACGCCAATTTGACCGGAATCCTGCCGCACTTCACCGGTTTTTTTTTGGCCCAGTTATAAAACCAGAGTGCCTTGGTAACATTTCTGGACCAGGCAACCAGTCAATTCCCCTGTTTCTGCTCAGATCCGCTTCTGGACTGTTTCTTTTTTGTTTGGTTGTTGTTTTTTTTTCTTTATATCCATCTTCATGTGTGAAGTGTTATGGTCAAGGTTTAGAATATAGATTGCTAACTGGGGGATATACAAAGGT